TTTCCTTGGGCCAACTAGAACCTAACTCTCTCTCTCTTCCTCACGGCAGCCCAATCAGGGCTTGTGATCTTTTTCTTCGGACCAATCCCATGCACACACACACATACACCCACACACGTACCCTTTTTCTCTCTCATTCTCGAGACTTCCTCTTTCTTCTTCTTGCACCCAAGACATCCCCAGCTCACTTACACCTCAAACTCTTACGGATTGAACTTGTGAAGTTTACCATCAGACTCCCCTCGACCTCACAATCACTGTTTTACCATTAATTCTTCGATTTGGTGAACTTTGAGTCGATGACTCGTGAGCTCCGATGCGGTGGAGCTTAGGTCGATGGGATCGCGGATGAATTACATGGTTTTGAGACTTAGGGAAACCTCCACGTAACTCCCTAAGGACTCTAGAGTAAGTTTAGGAAGGAGTTGACATCGGAACAAGTGAGTTCAAGAAGTTTCAGTTTTGGCCAGTTCTTTCGAGGGATTTTCAGGCCCGTTCCTGTTTGATTTTTGACACTCAAGAGGTATGAACTTGTTCTATTCCTCAAGAGCTTCAAATCCATATAAATTTCGTGGATTTTGGTTGAAAAATGAGTTAGATATAAAAGTTTTAAAATTTTCTAGAAACCGGCGAGTACAGACGGCGGCTGGTGGCGGATTCCGGTGAGTCAGCGGAGAAGAAGAGGAATATTCCGTTAACTTTGACTGAATATATTGACGGCGTCAGGTAACTCCATTAGGATTTAACGAAATATTCTACTATTTTAACGAAATGTTCTCTAATGTCGTTAGGGATTCTGTCAGTGTGCAAGGTACGTGCCTTGACCGGATCATGAGGGTACGTGTGACGTCCAAAAATTATTCTAAAAATATGGGGGTGTTCGTGTTGTTGAGTAGATCATTTTGGTATATTCAAATTTGAGCAACGTATGAGAAGTTATTCCTCGGATTTATCTATGTGCTTTAAAATTAACGAAAAATTAGTTATTTTGCATATAGGTGAAACGTACCCTGAGAACGAGCGTGGACAAGCAAGATTAGGGGGGGGCCGATCCTGCTACTTATTAGTGAGTGGGTATTTGCTCTCTATATATATAAATACACACACACACACACACACACATCATGGTTTCTAGGGCATTTTTTTAAACAAATATTTATGCTTTAAATGCCATGTCAAAAATGAGTTACAATTTAAGTATTTCACTATTATCAATCATGAATTATATTGTTTGATGCTGCAGAGGCTTAGGTGAGCTTCAGGTGAGTATATTGTGATTGTATTGGTTGCATTGCACATCATTATGCATAGATGCATTTAGAGTTCATCATTCCTGCACCCCGGTGTTAGTGCTCCCGCTCGAGGTTAGGGCACAATCATTCATGTGATGTTCACCTCCTACACTACACGCTTACCTTGGATCCAAATTTGGTGCCAGCCCTGTCGTACAGACCATAATAGGTGGTTCCGACTCGTAAGTGACCCGCGATTATTCGCACAGCCTTCACGTGATCGTAGCACTTGAGCGCACATATTTACATCCAGCCCTGTCGTATAGACCAAAATAGGTGGTTTCGACTCGTGTGTTAGCATATACTGATGAGCTATGGGTCCAATCGTATAGGTTATATTAGGTGAGTTCGGCTGTCATATTACTTTATATTGATTTCACCTGGCTTACATCTTTTAGTGCGAAAACGTTATGACATGGCATATTCCAGCTTTTACTGGCCTTGTGCATTGGTATTCGTATGTGTATATTTACTATTATTTTCTAGAAACTATACGGGTTTTACAGTGAGGGGTTATTATGTTCAGAAAAGATAAATGTGTTTTCAAACATTTTGTTTTTGCCCACTCACCCTTCTGTTTTGTGCCCCTCCAGGTCCTAGGTAGTTGTACATTTTGGTGGCTCACGAGGACTTCTCGGTGGTTTTGATGATCTACTAAATAAGTGTAGAGATCTTCTCCCTATTTTGTGTAATTAGCACTTAGTTGGTTTGACTACACTGTTGGATTGCCTACGCTCTGAATACTTGTATTTGGTACTTGATCACCTTCACGCACTTATTTATTATCACTAGTTAAATTAGCTTAGGTTGGTTTTTATTTACTCGCATTTACCTATTACTATCATCACTTCTATTGCGCACTTGGCTACGTCACCCTCACGTGACGGCCAGCACGTCTCGACTTCGGTCGGGTGTGTCAAGCAATGATTGTAATTTTGTAAATATGTGGGGGTATATATACTTGCCATTTGAAATTTTCACTAAATGGACACTGAATACTATGCTTTGAAGAAAAGAAAAGACACTTGTTTTAGAAGCATGGTATATCCTGCTTCGGTTTTTCTATGCTTTTCTACTGTCATTGGGCAGCATTTTTTTAATTTTTTTTTTTAAACGCATTTGATATTCCAAATTTTTTAATAAATTACTTTTCATAAAAACACCATAATCTCAAACCAGTCCTAAAAGATGATTTTATACGTAACGCGAGATTCATCACAATTTAATGAAAAGATAGTAAAAATAAAATGATGTGGATAATTGGATTTTATCTAGCAAAGTGGACTATATCCCGTGATGACTCACAAGATTGGACTCATATCAAGTTTAGTCAATTTGAATCAAAGAATTATTTCTTTATCATATAAGCGACTTATTAACAAAACTCTCATTGTCAACCAAAGGATGGTGAAAAAACAATTTGATCTTATATCACAAAATAAAATTGAAGACAATAATGTAATTTTGCACAAACCAAATTTTTATATTTTTTCTTTTCTGACCCACATGTTATCATAGAATATTTCTAATTCTAAAAATTAAAATATAAATCTCTATCCACTCCCATGTTCTCTCTCTCTCTCTCTCTCTCTTATTACCTCTATCTTTCAGATTTCTAACTTTTCTCTTTCCCATATATTTTTCACAAAAAAAAAAAGAAAAAAAAAGAAAGCAAAATGACTGTTTTGCACACAAAGTGTGTAGGCTTAAGCTAGTTTTATATAAATCTCTACTAATTAATAAAACACTCATTGTCAACCAAAACCCTATGAAATTACCAGTTTAACCCTCTAATTAAAATAGAACATAAATAAGAAATATGGGGCATAAATGTAATTTCAAAAAACCAAATTTTGCTGTTTTTTTTTCAAATCCTCACTCTACATGTAATCCTAACATATCTCTAATGAAAAAAAATAAAAAATAAAAAACTTCCCACTCCCTCATTCTCTATCACTCTCTTCCTCTCTCTTTCTATTTCAAAAACAAAAATAAAAAAAATTTCACATACACTTTGTGTGTGCCCATATACTAGTATTCTATTAAGAGAAGAGCCCTTGTCAACTTTTTCCCCCATTTTTTTCAATTTTGCCCATACTTTTCAATACACAATATTGACATGAGGAGGGCAAAATAGTAATTTTGTACCTTTTGGCAAAATAGTAATTTTGTACCTTTTGACAAAATGACAATCATATCCTTATTTTTTCTATTTTACCCTGTTTTTTTTTTTTTTTTTGAGATAATGACAATGATATTTTTCTAATTTTATCTTCACTTTTGATACACAATATTTACATAAGGAGGACAAAACAGTAATTATGTAATATTAAAAAAATATGCACTTATTAAGAGAAATTGTTCACACACACACAAAGTGTGTGCTCGCTATCTGCTAGTTACTTATTAACAAAACCTTCTTTATTAACCGAAAAAGAGTGAATAGACAATTTGGTCTTCTACCCAAAATAAAACTACAAGCAATAATACAATTTCACACAAACCAAATTGTGCTTTTTTTTTTTTTTTTTTTTTTTTTTTTTTCAAATCTCACTCACATATCATCATAGCATCTCAAATTTAAAAAATTAAAATTAAAAACTATATTTCCTCAATCGCTCTTTCTCTCAAAGTTGCAACTTCTCTCTTTTTCATCTTATATATTTGTTTAACCTTTTTTATATTTACACACATATTCAACTAGTTCCTATTATGGGAGGGGGACATAATTTAGTGTGTTTGAATATTTTTCCAATTGTGCATATGGCTACAAGAAGTTGCGAAAAGCAATTCATGCCTATGCTATGCACTATGGGACGGACTCGATTGTCACTGATTTTCCTCCCCCAACAAATAACGATTAAAACAACTAACTCTATCGTTTAAAAAAAAAAAAAAAGTTTATTTACTAACGGTGTCTTTCTCGCTATATTAGCCTAACGTGTGTGTCAATTAATTCTTAATTGTCTTAGTCTTTACTTTTTGTTAGATATATTATCTTTATTTAAAAAAAAAATTTACAATTTATTTAAAAGAATTAAGAAAAAAAATGAAGGCAGTAGGTGGATTTTTGGCATTTAATTTTATTTACAGCCAACATCAGCTAATTTGAACGTGGGTTTTTATACTGTTTTGCTCTTTTTTCAATTATATTGACATTTTCAAAAATTCTAAATTAGGAGGGCATTTAATGATATTTTAAAAACTTTACTTATTTGGCCTTCTCACTTTATATGCGGAGATATAGATGAACTAATCCAAGCGTTGTTTTGCATAAATACCAAAAGAACTTGCATCACTAGTCCAGCAAAAGTCTCCTAAAGAAGAAAAGAAAGATAGTTCAGCAAAACCCCTCTTCTCTTAAGAGAAAATTTTCATTGTGATGGAAACACGAATAGTACATCAAGTGTTTTTTTATGTAAGTGATGAGAAATTTAATTTTTTAAGTTATTAACTTTTTAACAAACATATCCCACGATTTATATAATGACACGTAGTGTACCATCCCATGTGCCGGTCACATTGAAAAATTTCTCCTCTTTTTATTATACAAATATTCGTCTCACTATCGCCCAAGCTAGTAAGTTACTTTAATTTACTCCAATATCTTCCACCACGTTCATAGTTTTATTCCTTATTTATCCTTTTTTTTCTTCCTTTTCTTCTTCGCCTTATGAATATTCTTCGTCTCCTTCAACCTAAACACCAATGGAACATGGGGAAGTTCTAGCAGATTGCATGGGAACCCAAGAGGCACATTCATCTCCTTCAACCCCTGAATGCGTACACGAGGTCTTCCTGAATTTTAGGGGCGAGGACACCCGCGATGGGTTTACGAAATATTTTTACACTGCTTTGAAAAAGAAAGGAATCAATACATTTCTGGATGACGATAAACTTGAGAGGGGAAAGGCCATTAAACCAGAACTCTTAAAAGCAATTGAGGAATCTAGGTTGGCAGTCGTCATTCTTTCATGTGACTATGCTTCTTCAGCGTGGTGTTTGGATGAGCTTGCCCATATTGGAAAGTGCAATGAAGACAAGCGGCTTCAAATTTATCCGGTTTTCTATTACGTTGAACCATCTGAGGTAAGAAAGCAATAGACAGGAAATTTTGGCAAGGCCCTTGAGAAGCATGAAGCAGAGAACGACAATGGGAAGGTGAAAAGGTGGAGGGAAGCTTTAAACCATGTATAGAATATCGCCGGATGGCATATTCAGAAAGAATGGTACGTACTTCTCTTCTCAATTAAGTAATCGTATATCTGAATTGTTTTGATAACAATATATGACGTGAATTATGTCACATTTAATTTTGAAATAACAAGTTAAATGCTTAAATCACATTCCATAAACTTTACTATATAGCTTTCCAGATTTGTAAGTGATAAGGAAAAACTTTCTATATGAAGCCATGTTGAAATAAACCAATTTATCTTCTCCTTCTGTATTCCAAAGTGCCCAGGCAATCGATCGGTCAAGCATTCAGAACAGAAAAAATAAGCCATGATGAAATTAACCAATTGGTCTTCTTATATATAATTTGCCCAACAACTAATCCTCCTATCAAAGAGTACTTGTCGGCCAATATATGGAGAGATCGTGAGTTATAACCTCTCCTGTGTTTGTTATTCCAATAAGTCGTTTCCAAATAAAAGTCCCAATATATCTTCCTAATTTAAATATAACTCTATTTTCCATAAATATATAAAAAATCTCTATTTATTATTTATCTTATTATCTTCTTCTTCCACTAGTATATGCCCAAACGTAAAATTTGTGTGAATTTTTTTACTTTTGTTTTTCAAATTGAAGGAGAGAGGAAGAGAGTGGGAGTAGAGAGAGGGGTTTATTTTTTATTTTTTTTTTAATTAGAGATGATAAAATCACTTGTAAGCGAGGTTCAAATATTAAATAAAAAAAACAAACAAATTTTATTTTGAGAAATTACGTTACTGTCCTTAACTTTTTTAGTGTCCTTAACAAACTGCCCTTCTCTCATTAAAATCTCAACCAAAAAAAAAAAAAAAAAAGTCACAAAAAATAACCAAGTAGGGTGATTAGTAAGTTCATTATTTTTCAAAATATAATTGAATAAAAAACAATAATATCTAAAATAATAAGGTTAAAACAAAACAATATAAAAAAGTCAATTACCATGGCAAGAGGCTAGTACTAAATGAAGCCTAGATAAAAAAATAATAATATCTAAAATAATAAAGTTAAAACAAAACAATATAAAAAAGTCAATTGCCATGGCAAGAGGCTAGTACTCCTCCATCTCTTCATGGTACTTATCGATGATGCTTTCATCGTCATAGCGCTCAAGGATGGCCATCCATTTTCTTTTCTCAAGTTGAATCTCCCGGGTGCAATGAGGTCTAATGGCATAACAAAAGGCCTGGGAACCTAAGAACTCTTGCATAGCGGCTTCCCTTTTAGTTGGGATACTCCCCTTCAGCTCAGAAACCTCAGCCAAGGCACTATCCAACTCCTTTCTGACCTTGGATGCCTCAAGGATAGTTGCCTCCAACTGTTTCTTGAGCCTTAAGTTCTCACCATTCCGCCCCTTCAACCTCTCCAAGGTTTGGTCCTTGAGCTAGACGGCCTCAGTCAAAGATTTGCTCTTCTTCTTAGCGTCATCCACAAGTTGCTTGTTCTCTTTAAATTTCGCCTTGTATCGCTCAACCTCTCGTAGTCTGTTGTCATACTTAATCATGACCTACATGACAAGATGATCTTCATTACCCAAAAAAAAAAAAAAAAAAAAAGGGGGAGATGATATAATAAGGAAACGACAAAGTAACACTTACATAAGAAGATAGCCTTATCATCCGGTCATGATCCGATTCATTCTCAGCTAGTGTCTTTCCGAGCTCGTCAACAATGGATCGCTACCCTGCCAGGCAATTGTTCACATACCTAAAGCTATTTGGCTGCATGGCAACCTTCAAGTCCTTCCAAGAGATGTTGCCAGCCTCTTCTTTGTACTTTCTCTTATGATTGGAGCTAGGGTCACCTTCATGGCCAGTGTACTCCATGGCTGGAGGAAAGATGGGATTGATGGCAGGAACAATCGTTTTTCCTCCTCTACAACTATGGCAGTAACACATCTGAAGGTATCAGCTTTAGCCTTCTTCGAGGCAGCAATCCTGAGGACCTCATCTTGAGACTTAGGTCTAATGACTGGTTTCACCCGGTGCTTGCGAGCTCCCTTATGAAATAGAATGTCATCTACAGGAACTAACATGGGTGTTTTCCTTTTCTTGGTGATAGTCTCCCCTTTATTGCTCACATTCTCCACTGAACAAGGAAAATCAAAGTAAGGAATACAACTTTATAAAAAAAAATGGGAGGGGCTAAATGAAGGATACGACTTACTCGCTTATCTCTGGCACTCGAAAACTAGGGGTTGGAAACCATACTTTCGATACAAAGGTCGTAGCTTGCCCAAGTGTCTGTTTTCTTTTGGCCCCCTCAACACTTTCTTTACATTGGCTAGTTCTCGACCGGACAGTTTGATGGTGCCTCATGTCACTGCATGAAGTAAAATGTTAAAAGCAAATAGAAATCACAACAAATAGCAAACAATGCAAACATTATAACCCGTGGCCTGGAAGTGAGCAGGAACACGTTGCTCAGGGGTGACACCCTTAGTATGCTCCTAATCCTTATAAAGAAAGCACCAATGGTTTTTCCAAGTGTAGTACGCATTTTTGTTACCAAAGACAATATGCTCCCTCTCACTTAAACATGCACACTTGGAATAACCAGTGCATGACTTCATTGGATGCATCTTATAGCAGTAGCCCCATTAATGGAAGGAAGGCTCATCTAATCCATATTTCATCCAAATAATGTAAAACCCAATCAAGGTATCCTAAAAACCTAGGTTAAGTTGCCCAGGCGCATATCTAATGAGAGATAGCATCTGTTGCAACCATGGGTGCAAAGGTAGCTTCAACCCTAAGGTCATTAGTATCTACGTGTAGAACATATCGTGACCCTTGGGCGGCTCAGTGAGCAATTCTTCATAATGCACCAAGCGCATTCCTACACTACGGAGTATGCTACATGACTACCTTAGGGCCTCAAGCTGCTCTTCACTATCTAAATGGTCCGCTATGAACTCAAAGCGAAATATGGGTATGGCGTCAAGAGCAACCCCCTCAACCACCAACATGAAGAAGGAAGAACCAATATGGGCTAAGGTTACATCCTTAGACCTACACTTCTCACTTATCCCTTCGTCGGAAGCCTCGGGAGAAAAACGTGTAATGCATGTTTGACGATTGTGAAGATCATCCAACGTTTCTCCCATACAAGACTCTAACAAAGGCCTTGAAGACTCTGGCATCACTAGGACCTCCAAGCTTTAACATCAACAATAAATAGAAACAAACTCTATCACTACATGAAGGATCGAAACCTAAGAAGTTCCTAGAGCATGAGGAAAAGCTCAACCAGTTCATCATGTTTTTAGCCAAGTGCATGAATATTCAAATAATTCAACAAGAATGAAAGCATTTGATTTTGTGGAGAAGACTACCAACCTGAAGATGGTGCCAAGCATTGCCGAAATCCCTCTTAACTAGAGAACACTCTATCTTCAAAAAATCACTACAAAAGGAACAATTGAAAACAATGTAAAGATTGGAAACTTATCCTTCTTATATAGTTCAACATGACCAAATAAATTCAAATTCAAGCCATGAGAAAGCCCTTCATAGAAAGCCTTCAGACTTCCACAAAAGCTAGGAAATTTCAAATTTCAAATTTCCAGTTTCCAAAAAAAAAAAAAAAATGGAAACCCAAAAGCTTCAACAAATGGAGGCCAACTACAAATGTCAAAAGCTTCACACATTTTGATCAAGATAGTGTGAAGCAAAATCTATTCATGGTGCCCAACAAAAGCTTCAACAAATGGATGGAGGCCAACTACAAATGTCAAAAGCTTCACACACTCTTGATCAAGATAGTGTGAATCAAAACCAATTCATGGTGCCCAACAAAAGCTTCAACAAATGGAGGCCAACTACAAATGTCAAAATCAAAACCAATTCATGGTGCCCAACAAAAGCTTCAACAAATGGATGGAGGCCAACTACAAATGTCAAAAGCTTCACACACTCTTGATCAAGATAATGTGAATCAAAACCAATTCATGGTGCCCAACAAAAGCTTCAACAAATGGAGGCCAACTACAAATGTCAAAAGCTTCACACACTCTTGATCAAGATATTGTGAAGCAAAATCAATTCATGGTGCCCAACAAAAGCTTCAACAAATGAAGGCCAACTACAAATGTCAAAAGCTTCACACACTCTTGATCAAGATAGTGTGAAGCAAAATCAATTCATGGTGCCCAACAAAAGCTTCAACAAATGGAGGCCAACTACAAATGTCAAAAGCTTCACACATTCTTGATCAAGATAGTGTGAAGCAAAACCAATTTATGGTGCCCAATTAAAAGCTTCACCTACAAAGCTTCAACATAAAAGCTTCACCTAAAAAGCTTCAACCACAAAGCTTCACCTACAAAGCTTCAACATAAAAGCTTCATCTACAAAGCTTCAACATAAAAGCTTCACCTAAAAAGCTTCAACCACAAAGCTTCACCTACAAAGCTTCAACATAAAAATTTCACCTGCAAAGCTTCAACATAAAAGCTACACCTACAAAGCTTCACCTATAAAGCTTTAACTAAAAAAGCTTCAACACTAAAACATGTAAAAGCTTTGCACATTCTTAATCAAGATAGTATGAAGCGAAATCAATTTATGATGTCCTAAGAATAGCTTTAACTGTCCAAGCTATCTATCCAACCACAATCATATGAACAAAAAATTTAAACATAAGTTATCTTATCCTTGCTCTCTATTCACGAGGTCCCTGTTACATATTGTATGACTGTTTATATACAACTCAAGTAAATTATAAATAAAAACACAATCAATTGCCTGTATAGTATAAGCTTGGAAGATGTACTCCTCCACATACAAATTTACAACAAACACAGCTAGGAAGCATTGAATATTATGCTAAGGATCGATGGCAACATTCAGAGATCATTCCCTACATTTTATGGTGACTTTATCAGCTCT